AAGCATGCAGGGTCCAGTTGTTTAACTTGCCCTCTTTCCAGTGACCACACGCAAAGAAACAGCAGCTCTATCTCCTAAAAGTACTTGAGTAGCTACGTGGCTTGGTAGGAATGCCTAACCCCAAATGGCTTTCATAGGTTAGCAGGGCAAAATAAGACTTGCTGTTAGCCTAATTTGGGATATTGTAGGGCCAAGAACTGAAATAGCTGTGTTCTCATTCCTCTGCTACTCTGAAGTAGCCACTGCTTAGCTATCTAGGCTAGCCAGCGAGTCCTGCAGTGAAAACCAGTCCTGGCATACTCTGTTTTCATTTTTGCCAGCCTTAGGGAGCAGTCTTCCTCCAGCTACGTGGCATTGATCTCTGATGCTGTTGCAAAGAAACCTCTGGGGGGGTTAACCCTGTTCAGGACTCTCTAGACCCACGGTGCGGCTGCTGTCCCTGCCTGGGAGCTCATGCTATAAAAGTAGTGCATGCTGGAGGTGTGAGCCTGCATTGTACCTGGTTTGTCGCACAAAGTAGAGCACCAGTCAGTTCTCAGCGTGAGTGCAGTGTCCTTTACCCACAGCTGGACTGCGTAAGCTGAGAAAGATCATATTTCTCTCTGTAGCAAATTCAGCAAAATTGGTTGCTGAGTGAGAGTTGAAGAAGTCGTAAAAGTCCTGTCAATGGGTTTTATTGTGCTTTGCTAACAAGTGAGTGGTACAACGGCCTTATGTTATGCTAGCTGTACAAGACTTATCTTTATCTACAGCTTGCAGTACCCTGTGTTAGGTCTGAAGTCTGTGTTCTTTTGGTGGCAACAACTTCTCAGACTCCCTCCCAGAGATAGTCTGGCAAAGTACCTAAGGCCAAGCTTCCTACCAAAATACACTATTTCATCCTGTCTCCTGTTGCTTACCTCCAGCTGGAGAAATAAAAGGCCTTGAAAGAAGTGGAAAACGGGACTGATAGACCCGACCAGGGGAAACAGCTCCTGACTCCAACCATGGAGCGTCATGGGCTGTAGGAGCTGTGGCATCCCCATGCCTCCTTAATCCAACTAAGATATTGGAGGATAAGGGAGAAGCACAGCACCAGCTTCCTCAGGACTCACTAGCTGCTGTCTCGCAGATGCTGTAGCAGGCAATTCAGAAGCTGTCTTGTCACCTCTGAGTGCCTGCATCTGGGAACAGTTTGGGTTTTGCTTATTTTTAAATACAGGGTGCTCTGGCACTGGTGCTGGGGGTTAGAGCTGAGAATTTCTGCTGAGAATAGGCTGGTGTGAGAGCCCCAAAAATGATTGTGGCCTGGGGAACCATGGTGGAGCCTGAGGTTTTGAGTCATGGCAATTTGGTGGCTGCTGAAGATAAGGGCCAGGCCTAGGAGGGACAAGCTCAACATAGGGTGTGCTTCTGCCTGGTATTGTTGAGGACTCTGGAAAGTGCTGGGCATGGGTCTGGTTAGGCCAATGCTAACTCTGTCTGTGGCTCTGTTTCAGCTGCTTTCTTCCAAGACTGCATATCTGAACAGGACCTGGATGAAATGAACATTGAAATAATTCGAAACACACTGTATAAGGTAAATGAGTCTCTGGGAAGGGA